GAGCACTCCTGACGCTGATGCATGACCCCCCACGGCACCATCCTGCACCAGACCCTTGACTTTGACGAGTTCATCCCACCCATCCCTCCACCACCCTACTACCCCCCAGAGTACACCTGCACCCCGGTGATGGACGGACAGAGGTATCGCAACACAACATCACACAACAAAACAGAACAAACACAACATACCACAACACAACACCTGGACCCCGGTGATGGGCGAACAGAGGTACCACAGCAAAGCAACAAAACGCAACACCTGCACCTCGGTGATAGACGTACAGATGTACTGGCTGCAGCACAACACTCTGACCTCCTAACAACCTCCCACCAGACAGAGTGTTGGCTGACCAACATAGCCCTCTCCTCTACAGCTGGTTTACAACATTACAGTGATGCCTGTTTGAATGACTGGCTGTAGCATCTCCTTTGGCACCTGTCACATTGGGTTTGATATAGACTCGCGTTGCCATACCGCCAAAATCATGTCATTGTCATGCCTGGAGAATTTTGTATTGCAAAAACGGTTAGATTTTGATTGGCTGTTACATTTCAAGAACCCTCCCCCCACACACCCGTAGTGCACTTTTTCAAATGATCAAGTGTGGCCGACAGGCTGCGATTTATATTTGTTGAAATTGAAAGTGGAGTACGCTGGTTAAGTCAAACGTCACAACACGTTCTAAACTGCTCTGTCGACAAACACACTTTTTACCTTGTCTCCATTCGTCCATATGGCTGCTGGCTGCGCTTTGCTACAACCGAAAAATCTTGCCCATTATTATTAAAGATAAGGGCTGAAAAAACGGAGGCAGTGGGAGAACCTATTGAAGTAAGTAAATATATTTTTAAATGTTAAAAAACTATGTATTACACTACTAGTAGGCCACTGTAGGCTAACTCAACTGAGCTGCTAGGTAGCAAGCTAACTTTACACACTGTTTAGCTAAGTGAATTCAATGTCATCATCTAGCTAACTTTCTATTAGCTAACTACAGTATCTTGATGTAATCATTGTAAATTAAAAACAGTCTCCAAATGCATTTGTAGATAACAGCCATGGAAGAGGCTGAAATTGCAGCTCCAGCTTTCAGTAAAGGGAGAGTATAGGCTACTGGACAGGGCAGGTAACCTTGTGGGAGAACATTATGAAAAGATTATCCAGTTCCAGTCCAAAGAGGGAAAAACTTTGAGGACAGAGAGATAATAGCAACATAATGTTCAGTGCTGACTAATTTCAGTATAAAGAAGCCTGTTTCTTTGTGATGTTTTCTGTCCTCAGATATGGAAAGCTGTGAAAGCCTGTCTGCAGATGAAGAGAGAGGTCTAATGAATGTCCCAAGAGACTAATCGTGCATTTCCATACAGGATTTATCCCAGTGTTTTACCTAAAAGGCTCAGACTTTTCTGTTTCCATCCACGTGGGCCGGCACCTGTGTCTGGGCCATGGCTCTGGTGGACCTGCTCTCACTTGGGGCCAAAGCCAGGCCACTGGTACTTTTCAGCCTACATTTACAAAACAATGGCTATCGTTAACACCTTCTCACACAGCAATTGTGTATACCAGCGGTATTTTTGTAAACAACATGTGCTAACATAGGTAGGCCTACCTATATCACATGGGTTATTTATGTGTAGGCCTACCTATGTTAGCACATGTATACAAAAAACACAGTTAAACATCACACACAATGTATAAACCTATTACAATTGGACCAGGCCAGCCCTGCTGGAGGTCTGCTAGGTGTGCAGGGTTCTGTTTCAGTCCAGCAAAAACACACCTGATTCAACTTATCAAACCTAATGAGTTTATAATCAAGTGTGCTATTGCTGGGCTGGAACAGAAGTCTGCTTACCCAGTAGATCAGGGATCAGTGGAGCAAGGTTGGTCACCGCTGGTATGGAGTATTTTGTTCACCTGAAATTGTGATTTAGTAATAATAGCCTACTTGTTACTACCACTCAATGTTCTATTGTTGTTTAGACTAAGATGTCTAATCTTTACATACGAGTTAGCTTATTTGTATATTTTTGTAGTGATGAACATTGACATTGACACTAGTTCATTTTGAATAATAGTTTAACAATTTAAACAAGTTGATGTTTAAATTGTTAAACTATTATTCAAAATGAACTAGTGTCAGTGTTGATTAATCACAATCCTGCAATAAAGAAGAGAAGGGGTTCTGTCTCTAATGTGTCTGTTTCTGTGTTGTATTCTCAAATGAACATTTCCTTTTTGTCTAGTTGTAAGATCTCCAATCTATTTTATTTTATTGTCTCAGTATATCAGCTATCTGAATCCATTTTGCAGCTTATCATATGGCATGCATCACTGGCCTTATGGGGATCTGTCATCTGAAGCAGAGAATAGCTAAACTCTCACATTGTTTACATGTTGAGCTATACAGTGCATTCGGAAAGTATTCAGAAAGTATTCAGACCCCTTCTCTTTTTCCACATTTTGTTACGTTACAGCCTTATTCTAAAATGGACTAAATAAATTGTTTTCCTCATCAATCTACACACAATACCCCATAATGACAAAGCAAAGCAGGTTTTTAGAATTATTTGCAAATGTATTAAAAATAAAAAACAGAAATACCTTATATACATAAGTATTCAGACCCTTTGCTATGAGACTCGAAATTGAGCTCAGGTGCATCCTATTTCCATTGATCATCCTTGAGATGTTCCTATAACTTGGAGTCTACCTGTGGTAAATTCAATTGATTGGACATGATTTGGAAAGGCACACACCTGGGGAAGGGTACCAACACATTTCTGCATCATTGAAGGTCCCCAAGAACACAGTGGCCTCATCATTCTTAAATGGAAGGAGTTTGGAACCACCAAGACTCTTCCTAGAGCTGGCTGCCCGGCCAAACTGAGCAATCGAGGGTGAAGGGCCTTGGTCAGGGAGGTGACCAAGAACCCAATGGTAACTCTGACAGAGCTCTAGAGTTCCTCTGTGGAGATGGGAGAACCTTCCAGAAGGACAACGATCTCTGCAGCACTCCACCAATCAGGCCTTTATGGTAGAGTGGCCAGACGGAAGACACTCCTCAGTGAAAGGCCCATGACAGCCCACTTTGAGTTTGCCAAAAGGCACTTAAAGGACTCTCAGACCATGAGAAACAAGATTCTCTGGTCTTATGAAACCAAGATTGAACTCTTTGGCCTGAATGCCAAGCGTCATGTCTGGAGGAAACCTGGCACCATCCCTACGGTGAAGACTAGCCAGGATCGAGGGAAAGATTAACGGAGCAAAGTACAGAGAAATCCTTGATGAAAACCTGCTCCAGAGCGCTCAGGACCTCAGACTGGGGCAAAGGTTCACCTTCCAACAGGACAACGATCCTAAGCACACAGCCAAGACAATGCAGGAGTGGCTTTGGGACAAATCTCTGAATGTCCTTGAGTGGCGCTCCGGTACCGCTTGGCGTGCGGTAACAGAGAGAACAGTCTATGATTTGGGTGACTGGAGTCTTTGACAATTTTTTGGGCCTTCCTCTGACACCGCCTAGTATATGGGTCCTGGATGGCAGGAAGCTTGGACCCAGTGATGTACTGGGCCATACACACTACCCTCGGTAGCGCCTTACGGTCAGATGCCAAGCAGTTGCCATACCAAGCGGTGATGCAACTGGTCAGGATGCTCTCGATGGTGCAGCTGTATAACTTTTTGAGGATCTGGGGACCCATGCCAAATCTTTTCAATGTCCTGAGGGGGAAAAGGTGTTGTCGTGCCCTCTTCACGACTGTCTTGGTGTGTTTGGACCATGATAGTTTGTTGGTGATGTGGACACCAAGGAACTTGAAACTCTCGACCGCTCCACTGCAGCCCCGTCGATGTTAATGGGGGCCTGGTTGGCCCTCCTTTTCCTGTAGTCCACGATCAGCTCCTTTGTCTTGCTCTCATTGAGGGAGAGGTTGTTGTCCTGGCACCACACTGCCAGGTCTCTGACCTCCTCCCTATAGGCTGTCTCATCGTTGTCGGTGATCAGGCCTAAATATGTATTCTGTGGAGCCCTTGGTCCAAGCCACTCACAATGCTCAGTACAGATGTTGTAGTGCTTTGTTAAGGAGCACTGGTAACATCCATGGCCTTGTGCAAATGTGCCATTGATCTCCTTCCCCTTGGTATAAGAGAGTCAGTCCTATTCCCACATCTTATAAAGCATGCTGATCCAGCTGCTTGGCTAGATGCCATGTGTTGTTGTCAATTAGGCTGTAAATAGAAACATGTAGAGGAAGCCATTATTGAGTCCCCTAGCTGAGGGCAGAAACATGTCATGACATCATCATGTGCTGGATGATTGATTCCGACACTCAAGTTGTATTTTATACTTTGCCACTTCACAGGAGAATGGGTTTTAATTAAAAAAAGATGTCTCTTGCATGGGTGAAATATCTTTAATTAACGACACATGAAAAGCAATAAACAGTTTTGTTAGTGTTTCTCAACCAATTGAATGTGTGTGTTCACTCTAAATTGAAGTGTTGCTGTCACGTTTCAGACAGACGACCAGAGGACCACAATTGCGTCACACCAGAAAGTTTATTAAAACTTAAGGGAAAAGGGAAGTAGGGAGTGAGTGAAGGCTCCAGGGGTAACAGGGATCCCGTCCAATGTGCTGGGTCTGTGCCCCCCCCAGTGGCAGCGATGCGTCCTATGACGCCGGTGGTGGGTGGTCCAGAAGTCCTGGGGGGGGGAAACACAGACACAACGGGGCGGATGAAACAAGGCAGCAGTACAGTTCAAGGGAAATCCAAATACGTTGTAGCAAGGCAGAAGGCTGGTCAGAGTTACCGGGATTGAAGAGTAGTCAGGAGTCGTTATGGCAGAAAGCAGGTCTGGTTTTCCTGGGGCAGAAGAGTATCCAAGAATCAGGCAGGTCCGGGGTCACAAAACAAGGGTGAGCCAGAAGCGTGAGCAAACAGGTTCCGGGTGTGAGCTTTGCAGACGATCTGACAAAGGAGAGCTGAAAGACAGGGCTTTAAATACTGGGAGAGGTTAGTGGGTAATGCAGCGCAGCTGGCAGAGTAATTAGAGCAGAGCAGAGCAGGGACAGGTGGAGCTAGTTAGGCTGAGTAGAGAGAGTGGAAGATAGTGGAAACAAATAAAGGTGGTAACCCGGTGGAGTGAGAGGGCTCATGACAGTTGCTGGATTGAGGAATAAGAGGATATTTGTATTCTTTCTCTCCTCACACCTTTCCTCCCTCCTGTTTCTCTCATTCAGAAGTCTACATCTGGACTTCCCACACTCCCCGTTCAGTGCCATCTATGGAGTGCCCATCAACAGCCCTGGGACCCTCTACCCCTCTGAGTTGCCCCCATCATATGAGTCTGTGGTGGGGCTGGGGATGGGGCAGACCCCTGCCAGTCAGGTGAGTACCACTACCATCCTTCCCTCATAAAAGACCAGTGTACTAGCCAGCCTCTTCTAACATTATACATTCCCTATTCACAGTCTGAGAATAGTTTAGAACCCCTCTCACTGTTGAATACTTTCCTGTTTACATGCACATTGTAAGAACACAACTACAAAGGAGAGTGCTAAGAAAGGCATTTTGACTTCAGAAGAAGTTGTTGTATGAGATCACAAAGAGAGAAGGAGAAGTACATAGAGAGAAGCTAGCTAGTTAGAGACTAGCTAGTTTCTATTTGGGTTGATGATTAGTGAGGTGAGAGGATGTTATGCTCCTCTCGCTCTGTGTGTAAATGACTGCCACAGGCTCTAATAAGGGATAAATAATAGAGATTTGTGACATTTCCTTCTGCAGATCACCCAATTCACTGCTGACTTCATAAGGCCTCCTGTAAGACAGCAGCACACACATACAGTGCATTCGGAAAGTATTCAGACCCCTTGACTTTTTCCACATTTTGTTACGTTACAGCATTATTCTAAAATTGATGAAATAGTTTTTTTCCCTCATCAATCTAAACACAATACCCCAAAGCAAAAACAGGTTTTTAGATATTTTAGCTGAAAACTGAAATATCACATTTACATAAGTATTCAGACCCTTTACTCAGTACTTTGTTGAAGCACCTTTGGCAGCGATTACAGCCTCGAGTCTGCTTGGGTATGACGCTACAAGCTTCGCACACCTATATTTGGGGTGTTTCTCCCATTCTTCTCTGCAGATCCTCTCAAGCTCTGTCAGGTTGGATGGGGAGCGTCGCTGCACAGCTATTTTCAGGTCTCTCCAGAGATGTTCAATCGGGTTCAAGTCCGGGCTCTGGCTGGGCCACTCAAAGTCATTCAGAGACTTGTCCCGAAGCCACTCCTGCGTTGTCTTGGCTGTGTGTTTAGGGTCGTTGTCCTGTTGGAAGGTGAACCTTCGCCCCAGTCTGAGGTCCTGAGCGCTCTGGAGCAGGTTTTCATCAAGGATCTCTCTGTACTTTGCTCCGTTCATCTTTCCCTCGATCCTGACTAGTCTCCCAGTCTCTGCCACTGAAAAACATCCCCACAGCATGATGCTGCCACCACCATGCTTCACCGTAGGGATGGTGCCAGGTTTCCTCCAGACGGGACGCTTGGCATTCAGGCCAAAGAGTTCAATCTTGGTTTTATCAGACCAGAGAATCTTGTTTCTCATGGTCTGAGAGTCCTTTAGGTGCCTTTTGGCAAACTCCAAGTGGGCAGTCATGTGCCTTTTACTGAGGAGTGGCTTCCGTCAGGCCACTCTACCATAAAGGCCTGATTGGTGGAGTGCTGCAGAGATGGTTGTCCTTCTGGAAGGTTCTCCCATCTCCACAGAGGAACTCTGGAGCTCTGTCAGAGTGACCATCGGGTTCTTGGTCACCTCCCTGACCAAGGCCCTTCTCTCCCGATTGCTTAGTTTGGCCGGGCCACCAGCTCTAGGAAGAGTCTTGGTGGTTCCAAACTTCTTCCATTTAAGAATGATGGAGGCCACTGTTGTTCTTGGGGACCTTCAATGCTGCAGAAATGTTTTGGTTCCCTTCCCCAGATCTGTGCCTCGACACAATCCTGTCTCTGAGCTTTACAGACAATTCCTTTGACCTCATGGCTTGGTTTTTGCTCTGACATGCACTGTCAAATGTTGGACCTTATATAGACAGGTGTATGCCTTTCCAAATCATGACCAATCAATTGAATTTACAACAGGTGGACTCTAATCAAGTTGAAAAAACATCTCAAGGATGATCAATGGAAACAGGATGCACCTGAGCTCAATTTTGAGTCTCATAGCAAAGGGTCTGAATACTTATGTAAATAAGGTATTTTTGTTTTTATTTTTAATACATTTGCTAAAATTTCTAAAAACCTGTTGTCACTTTGTCATTATGGGGTATTGTGTGTAGATTGATGAGCAAAACAATTTATTTAGTCCATTTTAGAATAAGGCTGTAACCTAACAAAATGTGGAAAAAGTCAAGGGGTCTGAATACTTTCCGAATGCACTATAGGTGTGATGGAAAAAGTATATTTTAGATGAGATACAGAAGGCACATCTTGTCTGCTAGAACATCAGAGCAGGTATAGATTTCAGTTTGATGAGTTTAATGTAACATCCTGTTTTTCCTGAACTCAGTCTTGGAGGTACTATTGTTGTCCACCTGGAGAAAATGGGAGTTGTCACTTCTTCAAGGAATATAGTTGGTTTCCTGTTTTAATGCAGCTGGGTCGTTCCACCAATTCGGTGCATTCGAGAAGTGTAACTTGGTAAAAAAACTAACATTTGATTTCATCTCATTTTAATATTGTCATAAAGAGCACATGTTCAACTTTTCCCATCTCTTGAGGTACATTTTTTAAAAAGACTATAGTAATTGCCTATTAAGTGCCAAATAAAGTAACAGGGTTGACTGTAACAGGGTTGACGATTTCATCTTAAATCAGCCATACATCCCCTTGTGACAGGGGGAATGGAAGCTTGTTGTGTGCAACAGGGAGTGGCAATTGAATGCAAGCTTAACAAAAAAATGCAAAATATATTATTTGCTCTAAAATATAATACCAAAAGGCTTCCCCCCATCTTTTAGAGCTCTTCACACAGATCTTCTGAAAATGATCTTCTAACAAAGAATCTGTGAATGAGGTCAAATCAGTATAGCGTTTTCTCACCTGAAGTACATGCCTTTGAAGTGTTGATGCAGGGAGAGCACCTGAGGGGACTGGTTGCTGTTAGATGTATGCCTCATAGGGGTGCAGCTGCAATCGGAGGGATCTAGATTCCACTCTCGTCGCTCACCTAGCAGGTTGACTAGAATAGAGGCATGGACCCGAAATGATCAGTTTGTACAGGTGACTGCAGCTTATGAACGGTAAGACTGAGGCTTTGTATTGGAACATACTGTATATTACATGCTTCTAAGACCCTGATTATCCTTTTTCATATTCACTGCTATGATTTAGAAATACTCATCATGATGGGATGAGTAAGCAAGCACACATAACACATAACATAATAAGCATACAATTATCTAAGAAAACCACATTATAGTGACAGTTCACCACCTCTAAAATCCCAATGGAATTCCTGATGTAGAGTGGATGATGTGTGCTTGGAGAGCCCTCTACTGGCCATAGTGTGGTAATGAGCACATGGTTGCCAGATGTGTCGGGAAGAAGCAGAGGCCTCTAACAGATGTCCTCCAAAAGGATTCTCCGCCTCTCCCACCTGTTCCTCATCTTTAATATGGGTTTCACTAATGGCAGAATTATTTGGTTCCCTCACTCACTATCCCTTTGGAAATGTGTCTCCTTTGTTAACTGTAAGAACTAATAATGTATGTGTGTGTGTGTGTCCATTTGCTCCTCTCTGCAGGTCACTACCAGCATTGATCAGCAGGCCACTGAGTCCAGCCTCTGTGAGAGAAACACCACAGCTGGTCTCAGTACTCAGGGTAAGGAAGGCTTAATCACTATCACTACAGCCATCCCTCACACCACATTGACTGTGTGTGTGAACAGGCTGGTGTATCTCATCCATAAGGTTGAGCCATGTTTGATATCTATGCCTGTACTGTAGTTTGGTCTGTGCAGCTGATGCTTGTGCTCTCCTGTGTCCTGTCCTAGCCTCTGTGGACAGTGCCTCTCTAATGGTATCAGAGGAGGTGGCAGAAATTCCAGACCACAGTTGCTCCTCAGAGGATCTCTGTTCCCTGGAGGTGCAGGGCTCTGACTCCTCTCCCTACGGCACGCTGCACACCGCCCCGACTGATGGCAGCTGTATCAGTCTAGAGCTCAGTGCCCGCTTCTCCCACCGCCACCATGGCCCGGCCCGGCTCGACGACACTGGCTACAGCGATTCCTCCCACAACCAGGACTCCATTCCCCGCTCTCCAAACTGGTCCATAGAGAACATCAACACACTGGAGCATGAGGAGCCCAAGGGAGGAGCAACGCTACACACACACCTCAGAGAACGAGCCAGTAGGAAGCAGCTGATTCTTCATGTTCCTCCAACTCCTCCCTCCCTGCCCTCTGCCTCCACCTCTGCATCCACAGCCTCCGTAGAGGCAGCCTCAGCAGCCCAGAGCCTCCCTGCCTGCCCCTCCCCGTCCCCCCCTGCCCGGCCCCGTGGCTCCCGGCTGTGCTTCAGTGTGTGGTCCCCATCCTCCTCTTCCTCCTCCCCGGCCTCACAGCCCCCTTCTACCTCTGCGCCCGCAGAGCGACCCCGCATGCTCCGGTCTGGCAGGCGGTATCTCAAGCTGGCTCGCATCGTACGCTCCACCAGTGACCCTATCTCCTGTACCTCCATATCTGGAAGTACGTTAGTTGCTCCTGTGTCGGCACGGCACTGCTCCTCATGGGTTGTTGCACTAACATGTTGGTTAGGAAAGATTATGTCATTACTGTTGAGATGAACAGGGTTAATCAGACCACACTTGCCACTGTGACTGTAGTGATAAGTGATACAATTATAGGTAACTAGCATCACTTAATTTAGTGAAATGCAAATAATATACTTTAGCATGAGTACTTGTTCACCATAAAGTTAACATCTCCCTCTGCAGGTGACAGCTGTGGCTGCCCCTCTGCAAGCAACCCTCCTCCTGAAGATTCTCCTCAGACTTCACCAGAGCAAGGTAACGCCCACCACACCAGAGCCTTTACCACCTCTCAACGATGTATGCCTTTCACATTTCCCCACCAGATCACTCCCCACCTAACCTGGCAGTCTACACGTACCTCTGGCGAAAACACCCATTTAGAACAGCAACTCGTAGGAGAAAATAGCGTTCACCTACAGAATGTGCAAATGTGTTGAATGTGTTGAGTCCCGCCTGATTGGATGTTGTTGTCTGTTTGTGTCTTCGGTATGTTCAGAGTCTACAGAGGTGGCAGCTCCTCTCCACACCGCTGCCAAAGTCAGCACCTGCAGTGGCAGGAAGCAGAAGGAGGGGAAGAAAGTGGACATCCGCCTCAAACCGCGAGCCCTGCACACGGTCTCCAATGAGCGCCCACACTCTCTGGCTGACCTCAAGACGTATAAAGACACCAAAATCCTGGTGGCCAAATTCCTGGAGCACTCCAACTGTAGTTTACCTCCAGAAGTCCAGCAGGTGGTCAACAGCATCAAGTATGTCATCAAGTCTGACGAGAGACACATGGAGGAAGCTATATTCAGTGCCAATGTCATAGATCAGGTATGTCTATCGATGGGCATGAGTATGAATGCATATAGAAAAATAAGCTGGTCTGATAACTTAATGAAACCATTGTTGGATAATTCTGGTCTAAATTGTTGGTCAGTTATATTTATGGATTTGTTTGTTTGTGTCTGTTACTTTGCACAGGTGATGACACAGTCACAGCGCATCATCGGCAGCCCAAGGAAGCGTGCCCATGAAGACCTGCACCTCCAAAGCTGTGGGGCCTTGAGTTCCCCTTCCTCATCCCTGCGCCGTCCACCTACAGCACCAGGGCCTCCCAACCCCCCTGCTCCCCTGGACTCCTCTCCCTCACCCTCTGAACGCACTCAAAGCCTTTTGTGTAGAGAGACCATCCTTTGACCGCCTTCCCTCCCCACCAAGGACTCAACCCCTATCTCTATCTCATAGTGCCCTGTGAGACCGTGCCAAGACATCAGCAGAAACAGACTTAGCAAGTCATGTCTGGATTGGATTGGCTTCTGTTCTCTCTCATATCAAAAACACCAGAATGTTCTCTTCTCCCTCAGGGGATTTTTTAACAGTCTAAACCCTGTAAAATACACTTGTAAGCCAACTAAATGGAGATGTCATGATGAAAAACCAGTGCTCTACTTTATCAAAAGGAAAAAAACAACTTTGTATTAAAACTGTGAACTGGACAGACTTGGGATGGTACTAGCTCCTGCAGACTTTGTGGATTCTAACTCTGATTGGCTGTGTGCCACTGTGTGCCACTGCAGGACAGAGAACTTTACAGAAGTGGATTATTTAACTTACCTCAATGTGTTACCACTCTTATCAGTGTTACAATAAAATATGACTTTCTATGTTGTAGTCGACCTCCTTCTTTCAACAATGGTATATCATTTGAACATAACATACTTTTTTAGGAGGCGCGAGAGGCACAGAAGGCCATGCTTACAGAAGATACATGACGCAACTGAATAGTTTTAAAGAATAATAAAATACTGTATCTATGTACAAAACACACAAATTGTGTAATATTTAGAAGACCTTGGCCATTGTAACTTACGAAATATAAAGAGCTTGTGGTTTTACAAACTATTCTGGATCAGCTAGGTTGACATCCAATTGGCGATAGATTTTCAGGTGAATAGAAAATCAGCATAGAAACAATATGCACATTCTCCCAACAGAAGTGTTTCCATCAAACAGACTTATTAGCGGATAAAATGCTGTGCGTGATGACGTAGTGTATATAAAATGACTTTTGCACTTAAGTTTTCATGTACTGAATAAATCAATTGAAGTTTAAAGGGATAGTTCACCCAAATTACAAAATGACATATTGGTTTCCTTACCCTGTAAGCAGTCTATGGACAAGGTATGACAGCAATCCCTGGCACTGTTTCCATATGCTAATGTTTTAAGATTAAGTCCAAATCATGAGAAAGTATCTAAAATTGATTGTGAACCTCAAGAAAGTCACTTATATATGTTTTGAACATTTTCTCTCATTGATCGAGACAGGTGAGTGTCATCGTGACATGCGGCACTTTGGGGTGGACCCAGCGGTGAAAGTAGATTACATTTTCTCCCGGTATGGGACTATGTGTGCACGCACCCAAAAACATTATGGTCCTAATCATAAAATTACATATAGAATCCCTATTGATTCAAAAGGATCTCTGTGGGCCTAAAATGTCAGTGTTCTCATTGAACCACATCGCATTTTGGAGAGTATAGGCTGCTATACCACCCGTTTTCAAGTCCAATCGCTAATTTTTCATGCCTCTGATATGCGGTAATGATAAATAATGGTGTAATAGCCTACAGTTTTTTTGACATTTTGTTTTAATTATTGTGATAGGCTCATGTTTTACCGGTATGGTGTACCCCCACTATTTATTTTGCTGGGACTCTGTACCGGACAGTACCACCTTACTTTCACCCCTGGATGGTCCCAACTGTCTCAATCAATGAGAGAAGATTTGAAATAGACAAAATGGCGGCGTACACATTGTTGCATTACTTCATGGAGCATAACATTTATTTATTTTAATAACGGAGCATTTTACAAATTCTAACGAACCACCTGCAACTGGACACGGACATTTTAGAAGATACACGTTTGGCTGAATCAAGAACGAAGATAGTTAATGTTGATCGAAAATTCACTGCTACGCCAAACAGTACCTATCCTGTAATGGCTAATGGAGCATCACATCAGCCCATTACAATCTGCTAGCTACAGCATCATTCAAATTATAGCCTACTCTCGATATTTATTAGAACATTTGGATGAAGCTCATCACCGTGCATATAACCACCATAAGTTATGAAGTTATGAAGTTCATCATAACTTATTCCATCTGCCTATAAACTCTACATGCTTTTATATGTCATGGTGTGAGTAGGCTACAACATCATCGCTTACGACATTATGGTTTTTCTATCAATATTTGTGCATAAAAGCGTTTCCATCGCAATTGTCGCATAATCTATTTCACCGACCCAAAAAATATCTGACCTTCTTCTTCTTCTTTAAATTTGTATTTTCACAGCCTCCCTATTTAATCTATTTGTCTTATCTTATCTAGCCCTGTGTTTCCGCCTACTGTTCTGGAGTGGGAATTAATTACACTTTGTGAGACAAAAAGGGATGGGACAAAGGATGGGGAAAAAGGAGAAAAACTGCCCTACCAACTATCCCTAGAGCCTTTAAAACCTCACCACTATCTGATCCTACACCAGGCCAGCAGCCTGGGAGGACGGGACACTATCGTTCAACACACCGTGTAACTCTTCTGCAGTAAAATCACTTACACCCAAGTACTTTTCTGCAGCTGCCAGCACAACATCTATTTTCTGTGATTGGACGTTCCATTTCTGCGGTACAGTTGATAACGATGGCTTGGACGCTAAGAAACACACTTACTGAAGCACATGTTATTCCTATCAATCTCTACTGGCCTTATCCTACTCACAGGGATCCTCTTAGGATCCTTCGCCCTGGACCCATCTTCCTCTACTACTCTCTTCACTCCCTCAGCATATGACACCTTATGCACTGCTCTGATCCTAGCAACCTCAACATGCCTTTCTCTCACCGGACACTTCTGATCTCCAGCACTATGGGTACCCCTAGAGTTAACTGTTAGATTAATTTGGATTTTAAGAATAATGACTAAAGGATTTCACCCCAAATACAGTATAAATGTTAGAATTATCATGTAGTGTCAACCCACTAACAGAGGGGGCGGTACTAAACATTCAAGGGTGAAGGGGAAGGCGGAAACTGTTTAGAAAAGCCACCTAAAGGTGGGAGGAGTCAAGTTCAGGAGGTATAAAACCGTATGTTTGTGTTTTTGGCGTCAGAGCTCTCCATGAATAAAAATACAAAAAATCCTTCTTCGTGGTTATGGACCTTGAATCATTTATGATTAAAACCAGAGCCTTACAACCTCTGGTAATGATTCAAGCTTAGGTTGAATTAGAGATAGAAATTCACATAACAGATTGGTCCTTTGAGCGGAGCTTAAATACGTCTTTATCGTTCTAAGGACACCGAATCCGTGCACGGCCGGGTGATTGCATCCGTGGAGAATAGACCTGGCCTTCGACGTTAAGGTTATAAACAGGCCGGTTACTCTTATGAACGATAAAGACGTTAACGAGTTTGAAAAAGCATTTAAATCCAAACTGCAAGGAAAAGGTCAGTAATTTATATTCACGGATTTTGGTGAAATGATTTGAACTTGTATAAGAATAGGAATTCTTGTAGGGGGCAGAGAATAGTTACCAAAATCTCAAAGGAGGTAATAATTATTACGACTGGGGAGGGTCCGAAAATGACCCTAAGTAAATAGCTATTACAAAAATAAACTAGTCCGAAATGACATGGGGTGAATGGCCATCACCAATGTAAACTAGTTAATATTGTCATTGTACGAGATGCAGTGTAACAGTATAAACAGGGAGATAATTATCATCGTGTGAGATAGATGAGTCGGGAGTAGCGTATACGACTGGGGATTTGCTAGAACTTTGCAAATAAGTTTAGCAAATGATTGTATAAGGTCGTATATGTGTGAGACTTAATCCATCGGAATACGTGATAATTGTTTCAAGGAAGGAGCTAAAAATAAGTTGCGTGAGAAAAAATGGTTAACTGACTCTTTTCATGAAACCGGAGTTTTAAATAAAAAACTCTGGGTTAGGGGTTAAATAATTTTAAATGGTTAATTACAAAAGCAGATCATACATTGGCTCAAGAGGCGCACTAAGATATTAGCTCCTACGAAAATAATTCAGGATTGAATTATTACAAAAAGGGGGGGGATTTCTTATTTTTCCACCATGGGAAATAAATCTTCTAAAGAGGTCCGAGAATTAACGGGGGATGAAAGATATATGTTAGGAAGAGATCGAAGAAATATGTTTTATGGATCCATTTGGGAGAAGAGGTATGAATTTATTGGGCATCTCGAAGTAAAAAAGTTAGAAGTTATATGATTAGGCAGATGCATGTAAAACGGATTTGAAAAAACAGCGAAAGGAGGGGCTAGAGACAGCGAGTGTTTTTTTTAAGCGCGAAAGTGCTTTAACGGTAACAAAGGAATATTTAACCATCGTGACTGCAGGGGTAAAGAAAAGGAATAGGACAATCAATTTTTTGGTTCAACGGGTAAAATGTTTGAAAAAATGATTTGTGTCAATTAAGAATTGGTTAAAAACACCACGAAGCGATTATTTGAGAGGTACCTATAAAATTCCAACGATGTATATGTATGAACTTTCTCACTCAAACGTAGACGTGCGTCATGAGTGAGAAAGTAGAGAATATTTGCATTTGCATTTTTGCATCCAGAATAGAAGGGGAGAGAGATTTTCTTAGGGGGTGGATCAAATAATTGATAATGGATCATTTGAAATGAGATCACATGTAGCAGATTTAGAGTAATCAATTAAATAATAATTGTATACTCGAGGAATTTTGAGTGATTTTATGGATTAGTTATAAGGAATTAGATTGATACAAACATTATTGATGGCTTAGGACTGGGGATATCTGTATCATGTTTTGTGTGTACTACCATCTTTAGATTACTGATGGTAATTGAAGGTTAACAAAATGTATAACCAGGAGAAAGAGATTAGCTTATCTCATTGGAATGTTGCTAAGGGGAAGCAGTAGTGAAGTTAGGTCATAAAAGGGAGCTACAAAATTAAGTTGAGCCTGGCTATCTTTGATTGTTGTTTTTCAATTGGGTTTTTCAAATAAAAAAACAACACACCCAGCATGATGTTTATAAAGGGTTGTTATGTTGAATTTAGGGGATTTTCAGCAGTTCATGGGTGGTTTTTACTATGCTGTAGGATGGAACGGTTTGTTGGGGATATTTGAACCTAAATTATTGGAATAAGCTGCAGTAATCAGAGGAATGTACAATCTAAGGTGAGACAACTATTGCCTAGATAATTGATTTAGCAATAGGATCAGGTAGATAGGGACTAGAGAAAAAAAAAAATTAGATGAAGAATGATGAGCTTTTTGGTAAGGATAGATTGCTGTCAAGCTTGGGTACTCCATTATGTACTGCATACGGGTAAATTAAGTGATCTTATCTATGGGAAGGCAATGGCGGCCCATGGTAAAATCATTTGGAACTCTAGGGAGGCATACATATATCAGGGATGTTACCCAAATGGTAGAGAGTAAAGAGGGATATGACATTGGTCGTGATTTAAAGATGATGTTTGTTTTTTTGGTGGGCTATTAGAGATAACTGGGTTAATCACGAACATAGAGGTTTTTATTCTTTGTTGCTAGGCAGAAGACTTAGGTGACCTAAATATG